CATCAGTCGACGAAAAAGGTGAGTGCCTGGTTGAAGGTCCAAATCAGTGAACTGAAGAATCTAGTATAAGTAAAAAATGTTAAGGATGGAGAGTGTCAGATGGATATTTGTGCTTTTCTCTAGGAAATCGAGAACATCTAAGAGAGTTAATGCAGTTGTTAGGATGAGTAAGAACTGAATAGAAGAAATTTTTGGCAAGTTTTTGAATATAATCTTGAATTGTATCTATTTGAGATCACGGTGAATATAAGAATTTGGAATGAAACATGGCGCGTTGATGATCTCTCTGAGTGCTTTGTTTTGAAGAACTTGGGTGGCAGCGTGGGTGAACTTGGGTGAAGGTGAGTTTTGGCAGCGTGGCCCCAGACAGGACTAGCATAGAGTAATGCTGGTCGAAGTATAGATTTATATAAGAGGAGTTTATTAGAAACGGACATATGACTTCTTCTACCTAGAAGTGGGCGCATAGTTGCAAGCGTGATATTGATTTTTTTCAGTTTCCATGAGATGTTTCTGAAAAGTGAATTTTTTATCAAGAATGACTCCCAGATATTTAACTTCGTCAACCCAGTCAATTTCTTCATCAAACAGAAGAGGTCTAGGTGGAATGAAATTTGTTTGACCTTTGCGAAAAATTATTGCCTTTGATTTTTCGGTATTTACTGCAATCCTCCAAAGACTGAGCCAATTTTTAGATGATTGAGGTAATGTTGAAGATCTGGACATCAGTAACAGTAAAAGCTTGCAGTACCATCAGCGAAAAGAGCAAATAGTAATTTGTGGGTCCTTAGGAATATCGTAAATATAAATGTTATATAAATATGCAGAAAGTATAGATCCTTGAGGCACTCCAGTGAAAATTGTTTTCATGGAAGAAACAGAACTACCAATTTTCACTGCAAAGATTCTGCCTTGGAGATAGGAAGCAATAAGTCTAATACAATGATCGGGGAAGTTTAACTTATAACTAACTGATAAGCTTGTTTATAAGTCCCCGGTGCCATACCCTATCAAAGGCTTTCGCAATCAGTAATATAGTTTATGACACGAAGCAGCTGGTGATTAGTACTGTGAAGATTACGGGAGCCAAACTGTTCGTCTGGAATGTAGGAGCTCTGTGGAATAGTTTGATTAAGATGATAAAGAATAACTTTTTCAACTATTTTAGAAAGTTTTACTGAGAAGGCTGATTAGGCGGTAGTTATGGGGAAACGTTGAATTTTGATGCGGTTTTGAGAAGACCACAATGATGGCATATTTCCATATATTAGGAAAGTAAGAGAATTTGACGATAGAGTTGATTATCTTAGTAAGACAAGTGATGGCATTGATAGGAAGATGTTTCAACGCCTTGGTAGAAATACCATCAAACACCAGGAGCTTTTCTGTGTTTTAAGGAGCTAATATAATCGACAACCAGCTTAGGCGTGGCAAGGAATGTAAAGTTCAAAGGACCTAATGATTTTTAGGAAGGTATTAACAGTATCATTAACTTTGGAGATATGATTTTTGTCGTAGGGGGTAGTATTGGGAGTAAGCGTTTCTTCTAGTATATCTGCAAAGGTGTTAGCTTTATCTTCGTCTGAATAAATCATTCCGTTGGTACCATGAAGTGTCGGAATTTGCTTGAAGGGTTTCTTAAATTTCTCTGCAATGTCAAAAAGAGAATTATCTACAGTTGCTAGAGAATTGAGGAAGTTATGCCAGCGTTGCGTCTTGAAGTTTCTAATGTCCTTTGTGATCTCACGTTGAAGAGCGTTCAGTTGAGTTTTTAGCCTTGGGTCTCTTGTATTTTCACACACACACACACAGATTGTATTTTATTCTCGAGTGTCAAAATGTAAAAACATCTTTTTACTCGACTTCTGATAAGGAACAGGTGGGGAGGAAGAGTAGGGAGGAAGGAGTGTGGGAGGCGGAAAAAAGAGAGTGAGGTCCGCACTAGCGGCGTCGAAAAAAATGGAGGGTGGCAAGTTCAATGTCGTTATAAGATGTAGCCGCGGGTGGTAAACCGCAGAGTCAGTTTAGCGTGAATGAGTCAATTAAGGTTGTAATTCTTATTCTTGTATTTTGCCAGTTTTTCCTAATATGATTTTTGCATTTGATTTTTTCTCTTATGCTGGCTGGAAGAGGAAGAAAAGGATGGGAACTGATGAATTTATTGGTTGAAAAATTGATAGCATGTTGGATAAAGGTGGTAAATTTCTTGATTTCAGACTGAATATCGTCTTCATTGGTAATTTTGGGATTTCCAGGAATGGTATCTGAAATGATTTGTGAGAATTTTTTCCAGTCAGTAACGCCAGTACTCTTGCCCAGTGAAGGTAAGTAACTATTAATGTTGATTTCAAAAAGAATGGGATTCTGGTCGGATGAGAGAGCTGGAATAACAGAAATTTGGCAGTTATGGTCGAGGTTGTTAGATAGAAAAAAGTCAATAGTAGAAGAACTACTATAGCCGTAATGCGGAGGTTCATCAGAGGCATGAATGGTATAATTTTTATTTTGAATGATGCCAAAAATTTCTCGTCCTTTTCTATTGCTAGCTCCTTGATTCCAGCATTGATGCTTAGCGTTAAAATCTCCTCCAATTAAAGCAGGAGAGTTAAAATCCAGTAGCTGTTCAATTTCAGAAATGATCAGACTATTATTAGAAGGTATACAGATATTAGAGATAATGAATTTTTTGTGCTCAATTTGAATTTCAATAGTATTACTTTCAAAAGAGGTAGAAAAATTTTGTTTGACTTGATGTTGGATGCTCCTTTTAACAAAAGTTATAATTCCACCTCCGCGTCCGGTTTCTCGATCCGTACGGTAAATAGAATAATTTGTGTAAAGCACTTTCAGCGCAGGTTTCAGATGCGTTCCCTGTGTAAGAATTACATCAGGTTCCAGTTCCAGAAGAAGATTGCCAAATTCATCTTTTGTTAAAAAGGCCATTAGCATTCCATGAAAGAATTTTTGATGTTTCTCAGATTAATACTGCATGGCATGTTAAAGGCAATTACTAATTTTGTAAAGAATGTCCACAATTGCACTTATTTTGTCTATAGGCGAAGTTTGCTTCTTCATAGTTTTGAGGCCTTCTATAATAACTGTCCATATTGTTTTTAATGAACCCAAATTAAATAATTCTGAAAAGGTGGAGCTTGTGGTTGGAGTTTCAGATAAGTTGGAGTCCTTATCATTTTCAGGCTTCGGAGAATCTCTTTCTTCGTTGAGAGGTGGAAAGCTGTTGTCTTGTAAATTCCAAGGATTTTTGGTTGGTGGATTGCTGCGTGTAAACTTCTGCTTTGTTTGCGGTCTGGCTGGACACTTGGAGAAGTTAGCTGGATGTGGACCGCCACAATGGCAGCAAGTGGCAGGCTTATCTTTGTCAATGGACAGTTTTTAGGCTCATGATTTCCACCGCAACGCACACAAACCCAGTCACGAGTACATAAAAGTGAGATGTAAAAGTATTGCTGGCAACGATAACATTGTGGAGGGCCAGACCTCCGTTTTAAGGCCTCAGCAGTGACATTCATATATCCTATGTGCTTGATGTGATAAATCTTTCTTGATGCTTCAGTCTTAGGGAGGTGAAGCAAGAAAAGCGGCATTGGCTTATTTTCCTTTCTGTTTCTCATGATAGTGATAGGATTTATGGTAATTCCTTGGTTTGTTAGTTCTTGGACAATATAATTGGGGTTCATGGTCACTGGCAGGCCTCTGATTACGACTTTAATCACTTTTTCTTCAGGCAGAAGAAATGTATGGGCTTTAAGATGTGTTTCTTCTATGATTTTGCGAATAAAGCGATGAGAGCCAGCATCTGGGGGTTCATTTTGTAGTCTATTTCCTTTAAGAGTGCCCATTATCTTTCTTCTAGTTTGATTACTTAAATTTGCAAGAAATTAGGCAGCTTTAACAATATTATCCACTATTATGGGTGGAACTTCATTCTTTTGAGTTTTATTTTCAGAGAATTTCTTTTTGGTAGTTTTTGGAATAGGTGGCTCGTTATAGCTATGGTTGACTAGAAGTGGGTTCGGTGATCTTCTTCAGTATCATTCCAAGTTCATTGAGTCATTATCGGTTTGGAGAAGTTGAAATTTATTATTTGTTTTAAGATTTGGTTCGTCATTTTCGCTCTCAGAATCTGAAGACTTTCTTAGTTGGCGTTTCCGTTGTTTACGGAATTCACCTCCAGTTTGATGAGCTTTGCAGTATTGTTTCAAGTCGTTTATTTGTTTCTGTAAAAGTTAATTAGAACTTTTGAGTTCGTTGATAGTTGCAGTAGCTTGAGCATTTTCTTGTTCTCGTAATTGGTTGATGGCTTTTGCAAGTAGCAGATGTAGTTCTTTGATTGTTTCGGGTGAAAATCCAACATTCGTTTCACTTAAAGCATTTTCAATGTCGAGTACAACTTGCCTGGTGGAGTTAGCATTATTCGATAAAGTTATCTTGATACTGAGGATGTGAATAAACTGAGGATCTGCTAAGGATTTCGTGTAGTCATGATCAGAAGTTTCATGTGAGTGTGCTGAATCCTACATATTCGTTGTATGCGCAAGCGCTGGGTCTAACTGTAAATTCAACCTGATATCAGCACAAGATGTCATGCGCAAGAAGAAAAGAGTAAAAGAAGTTGCAATCTACTCTACTAGAAGACTCGAAACTTCTCAGCAACCTTGCAACTGAATTTCTCGCGAGACCTCTGAGTGCAGTCGACGCCGCGGCTTGGAGAGAACACGCAAGAAAGGGGATGAATGAAAAAACGTTATTAACATAACATAACCAGGTTTCGCCGTAGCATAAACAGGTTATTCGCCATTGTAAACCAAGGAGGTTTGAATATTGCAAACGAATTTGAATTCAAATACTGACAAAAACCAAGGTACACAATAATAATTTCAAATTTTTAATTCTGTTTGACCTTTAAAAAATTAAGAACCATTTTCTAAAAATTTTTGAAAATTTTATTTTTAAAAATTTTTGCACAGACCACGACGGTAGCGAGTGCGAAAAATTTTAACTTCTTCGAATGGCGTCATCTATTGTAGGTTCCTCGTGGCGATCTGAAGTTTTGCTGTAAAGTGTGTAGGTTTGTGTATATCTTATAAAATTTGTTATTTAGAGCGTAAGTATAAAATCGAATATACATTCATTTTCCATTTTATGAATTGTGTTAATAGTGCGTATTTTTAAGGCTATTAATGGTACTGCAAATAATAATCTAGTTAACGAAATGTCTTGCATTATTATTTGAAGTTAATAGATTAGAGATTTAAAACACGATCTCTTTTAGACGCTTGCTTATTCATTTATATGGTATAGATTTGTTACAGCTGTGAAATACCTTAAAATTACTAATTATTTCGTGTTGTCTTTATGAGGTCCATCATTCCTAACCCTAAATAAGAATATTGTAAACCGTGTCATTTTCAGGTTTTTAACGGTGCCAAGTTTAGAACTTTTGATTAAGTGCATGAATATAAAATCTCGTTGCGGACATTGTACTGAATTAATAAAATGTAATACAAAGTAATAACAACAATTTCTACACAGCAATTTAAGTATCGTTATTGTTTTTGGTGTACCGAATTTATAAATTTTGGGAGTTAATTAGTACTAGTTTTCTGTTACGGAAGGAATATTTTTCCGATTCATTATAACATAACTGATTTTCTGCTCGGTGTACTAAAATTTTAATGTGTATTATATAATTCTTTATAAGAATGAAGACTTATTTTTGCTCACTAGAAAATCTACTTTCTCGTATTAAAATTTGCGAATATTTTCTTTGTTTGTGTTTATACATTTAAAAAGGTTAAGAAAAAAGTTTTGTCACATAGAATAACTTCATTCATCAATAAAATTAAATTATAGGACATTAATTTCATTCGGAGTAAACTTTACTAATACCAATCTTCATTAGTACATAATTGCTGTTGAAAAAGGAAAGTCTTGTTGCTTGCGTCTTAAAATGCAGAGGTCTTTTTGGTTTGATCCTAGTACCCAGTGCACACGGGATTTGGCGACTTTATGATGAGCAGTAAAAATGGGACATATACGATGAGTAGTTAACGGGTCATTCAAAGAAAATATATAGTTAAACATAGTATATACACACATATTATATAGTGTATAGTATATATATAGAAGTTCTTAGGATCATTTTTGGTGTTGGCGGTAATTTTGGAAGTCGCGCCAAGGCTGCACCGTATACTAGGATTTTACCGTCTTTTTTCATTTGAAACGTTTAAAAAAGCTTTTATGTTACCAGTTACAAAATTACATGGTAGCCTATTTTTCAGTTATTTAGAGGCTGAAAGTGCCTCACTTTTATGTACATAAGTTTTTAAACCATATTGTAGGCGATCTTTGGCAGTATGTGGATGCCGAGTTTGTGCAATTCTTTGACTTGTTATTTTGGCTTTGTGTAGTGGCAATATACAAATGCACAAACTCAGTATCTATGTACACATCTACCTATTTTCACTTTAAAAAAAATCAGAGATTTTCACAAACTTGGCATTGTGCACTCCCTTGACTTTATCCATGTACACATAAACCTATTTTCACTTAAAAAAAACATCGAAGAATTGCACAAACTTGGCATTGTGACTCTGTTACTCAGTTCTGTATTAGAGCCAAACAAAATATACATAATCTCAATAAACTACATTTTAAATCATACAATAAAATAACATAAAAGGGAAATTGATCTTATGCATCTAAGCACTACACAAAACAAATACCCATTTACCTTATTTAGAAATTTCTGCATCATCAGTCTGTGGCACACAAAATTAAATAACTTCCTAAAATTATCTGAAGTAGAATCCTTATATCGGCATTGCCACAAAAATTCACAAAAAAAAGTTAAAAATGTCCGTAGAGTCTGTGTCCTCTGAAGTTCAACCATATGCATTTCCCTCTTACAAACAGAACACTGATAATGGCTACTAACTAAACCTTCATTTACACAACAGTCAATTAATGCTCTTTTCCCCTTTCGTTCAAAATTGTACAGTAACTTGAAATTAATCTTGCCACATTCAGCCATTTTACTGTCTAAACCACAAAACAATGTGCTTCCTAACCAACACACACCAGCCCTTACAAATCTTTTCCCATAATTCAAAATTTATGGCAATCGCGCAACTGATTATGTCATAATAGGGTTTCCATATCATTAAACTACTCAGGTTACCATAAATGAAGCAACAACTTCATGATAATACAAGGGCACCCTTCAATCTACTCTAAAGCCATTTTTATTATACTGAAATATTACTTGCATGTATATGTTCTTGGATAAAATTTAAATTTAGAAGTGCTAACAGTTTATTAATACAGTCAAGTCTTTAATCCGGACCTCGAAGCTACAAACTTTCTGCGCATGCGTGTTTAATGTATAAGCTAAGCTAAAATTATGTAATTATCTATTTCAGTTAATGTTGCAGATTGCATTGTTCCTTAATCTTCTAATTGGATCCAGCTTATTTATTTTTTGCAGACTGTTAGAACAATTTTATAAAAGTAAGCTTGAACTTTCGATTATGTCAAAAAGAATTTCCGATTCTGGAGCTGCCAAAGGATCTACTAAGCGAAAGCATGTTTCGATGTCCATCAAACAAAAAGGGGAATTGCTGCAAAAAATGGATAAAGGCATATCCTTTGTTTCTCTAACCATTCTGAAATCTGTTTATCAATTTCACGCTGCTCTGTGGGGGGGGGACATTGCAGTGCGCAGTGAACTGGAAGTTGTTCTGTCAGCACTATCCTTATCTTCAGGGCAGATGTTTTTTATTTTATTCGACTTATAATTCCTTACTAAATGTAGTATTTCATCTTGATGTACTCCATGTTTGATATGATTTAATCAAATTCCTCGTCATTATAAATATCAGGAATGTACATCAAATAGTTTTCTGGTTGCAATTTTCTAATTTCGACTATGCGTAATGTATGCTTTACACATGAACGCATTGAAAGAAATGTTTAATAAGGTAAACAAATAAATATTAAACTTCTTTTTTTGTAAATTTTGATACCCTTTAGATTATAATTGCTCATTATTTTATAAATTACGGTTTCATATTTTTAATTTTATAATTTTGTAAATTTTGTTACCCTTTAGAAAGACTTAACTGTACTGCAAAAGTCAAGTTGAAATCATCATGCTAATAGCAGATTATGGTAGATTGTTGTAATAGAGCTTGTGGTAGTGATGTCTAGAATGTTAATAAAATTTTAATTTAGAAGTGCTAACAGTTTATTAATACTGCAGAAGTTAAGTTGAAATCTTCATGCTGAAAGCAGATTAGGGTAGATTGTTGTAATAGAACTTATGATAGGATATCTAGAAAGTTAATTTTGGATTTATACTTGAGTAAAATTTAAAATTTCTAATCTTTTTCATAGAATTAATATATGTTTTATTAAAATTAGAATTCATGAATTATATAATGGTTTATCCTCAAAATTTATATCTAGATGGGATTTTTATGTTCATACATTCCTTTTCATGTTCAAATGAGTATGTACATATAAAATAATTGAACTGCAAAAAAATAATAATAATAAAAAAAAAGTAACAAGCTCCGTTTTTTCCTCTAAATAAGAAACTATGAAAAACACAATGAAATTTACAGTGTAAACTTAAAGGGTGAAAAGAAACAAAATTAAGTATTGGCATATTTTAATAAATTTATTTATTTTACAAATGACAAACGGTGCTTGGGCCATTAGTTCACTAACAGTGTCCTTATAACGAGAGAAAGTGCAGTACAATTTTTTAAATGTTAAAAATCATAGGCTGTTTGGAGTTGAAGAAAACACAGTTTCGGGAACTCACCACTCCACTTCTGTAGAGGTGGTCTTACATTCATGTTCATACGTTTAAATAGAGCTTGGAAATTAGGGAATGAAATTTCTCTCTTCTCCCAGAATTGTCTACCTCTTATCCATAGCACTTTGAATGATATCCTGTTTTAAGAATTTTCTTAAGAGTAAAACAATTTAGTTGTATGAAAAGAAAGGGGTTGATTAGTTCATTGCATTCTCAAAGTTCCTCTTTCAGCCTAATGTATAGGCTTTTTCGTTGCCCATAATTCAACAGTAGGCTAGAATCCATTGGGAAGAATTTCTGTGCCATTGCCTTAAGCAAAGGCATACAATCTAAGATTCTTTGGGAACTATTTTGATTATTCAGAAGGGCTTGAAGTGTACTTTTGGAATCTGACGATATGACTGGCTTTACAAAGTGACTACGAATCGACAGTTGTTGAATAGCCACAACAATGCTTTCGATTTCCCCATGAAAGGCATAGTAAGAGGGCCCATTGATAAGTAGAAGCTAAATAGCTCGTAATGGACACCTGCTCCAGCACCGCATCTCCATTGCAGTAGATCTTAATTGTGAGTCACTCATTTTGTTCTTAACCCGCGGGAAGGCGCGTGGGGTATCATACCCCAACCCTACATAAAAGTGGAGTATTCCTAACTTGTGAAACTGAAATTTTGTGCTGCTTTCAGTAGCTGAGTTTCTAGTTGTGGTTGACTTTCAGAACCGCTTTTTCTTCCATTGCCTGTGTGTTTCAGAAAAATATTTAATCGGTATTTTATTGTTGGAACTGGGGTATGACAACACCCCACATGCGACTGTTCGTGTCAGTGTTTTTTCTGACTGAATATTTAGTTCAAGAAATTTATTTCTAGAGTGTAACAGTAAATATTTCTACTCGCAAGTGATTTTTAAAGTACTTGACAATTCAAATCTTTTAAAGATTTGTAAGCTGCATTATGTCATAAAAAGAATGAGTCCCTATGAACTGGAAAATGCAATGCATGCGAGATTTATTAGAAATATTTGAAAGCGATGAAGATTGCATTTCGGAAATTGAAGATGAAAATAAGAATAACTTTTCTATGCTGTTTTGGTTTCGAAAAAGGTAAAACATTAATTCCTGATGTTCCTAAAAAAGGAAAAACTGTTCTTGTGCTTTATATAACGATCATTATAACATTATATAGTTATATAACGATCATACTATAGATGATACTATTGGAGAAAATAAAACGTTAGGAATTATATATTTTAATAATATGACTAAAGGAGCAGTGGATATGGAGGATGAAATGTCAGCCAATTATTCAATTGCCAGAATAACGAGAAGGTGGCCAATGGTAATTTTCATTCCTGCACTGAATGTTGCTGTAATAAATGCTTCAATTATATTACATTCAACTGCTAATCCACCAACAAGAAACAGAAGTCTGTTTTTGAAAGACAGCATTACAATTAATGAAAAAAGTATTGAACAAAGATCAGAGATTAATACATTTTCCAAGAAATTGACGTACTGCATGCAAAACAAAAGCAGAAGTTTCGATGAAGAATTAAAACGAATACATGAAATTAGAAACAACTAAGTATGAAAGATGTGTTAAATTTTTTGCCCTCGTGCCAAGGACAGATGAACGTGAGTGTAATGTTTAAAATGTGAAAACATTCTGTGTCAAGAACACATGAATGTATTTCGTTCAAAGTGTGAAGAAATAAAAAAAGCATGGTGTATTAGAGATGCAATGAAACTTAGAGGCATGATGTTTATTATTTTCATTTATCTTAATTTTAACTAAGATTATTTCGGGAATTAATTTTTTGAAACCCAATTATTATTCACTTATTTATAATACACAAGAACAAAAAAAAAAAAAAAAAAAAAAAGTTTTAAAACTAAATAATGCTATTTTTATTGTATTTTAAAGATATTGGGGTGTGTGATACCCCACGCGCGCGTTCTAGTAACTTTTCTTGGTGCGCCTTCCGCCGGGTTAACCTTGGCTTATTTTTAAAGCATCAGATTCTCTGAGCAGTCTGGATAAAGCCAATTTGAGTTTTAAGATTTCTAGAACTTATTATTCTAGTACCCCCATAAAGAGTTATTGGGCAAATGCACAAGCTTGTGGTATAATAGGATGTCTTTTCTCTGAATAAAATCAAGAACAGGTTCCAAATCGGTTTAAGCTGCATTGCAAGAATAGGAGTAGATCTCACTGTCCCAGTAATTATGTGTAACACTTTGTTTTGGAATACTTTGAAGATTGGATTACATTTTTTGGAACCATGATGAGGATCTCGTTATAATAACCAATAACTGGTTGAACATATAATTTGTAAATAGTTATCAGTATGTCTCTGTCTCAGCCTCACCTCGAGCCAGGCATTCATTTTGAGACCGTCTTCTCACGGCTATATTTTTCAAATGCTCTGCTTGTTTCCCTCAATTTTACATGAATCGAGAATGCAACCTAAATATTTAGTCAAATCATTATGTTGAACATTTACACTTTTATATGTCAAATTCAGGGTAAAATGCTGTCTTCATAGTGAAGAACTGGCTCATGCTCTTATCCTAATTTACTGTCACATCATTTCATGTCAATACTCTAGCTCTTTCAGAGCACTATTAAGAGTCACATTTTAATCGTCCTGCTTCTTTTTAGAAGCACTACTCAGATAATCAAATTGTCAGCAAAAAGGGCCGAATCCACCTATGGTGCCAGAGTGTTCGGTAAATCACTAATAAAAACATTAAAAAGGGCTGATGACTTTTCTCTGTGGGGGGGGGCAGTTTCAGTCTGTTTAAATCTAGAAATGCTAATGTCATCTAAGAGGGGGGAAAAAGCTGCGATAAATTTTTAATGAACAATAACTTCCTGCCATTTATTTCCATGTTCTGTAATTTTTTAATAGTGCATAATCTCCATACTTTATCATAAGCTGAATCAGTCTATAAATGTTGACAGGACAGACAAACATTTGTCTAAAGAATTACGGCTTGACTAACATAAGATACCTGTTGGAGAGTGGAATGATATTGTACTTAAATAAATTAATAAAAAGTGGTTAAAATCTTAATTACGTAAAAAAACATGAACTTATTTGGAATAGACGGTTTTATGTAAAGTTCTTGAAATTTTCAAGTTACTGCGAATCATCCTCAATCACCCAGCTAACAGCTTTTGTTGCTCTAAAAACCATCACCAAATTACCTGTTACTATATTCCAAAGATAAGCTGATTCAGATCTCATTTGAATAATTTGTTTATTTGCATATATGTCTGAAATGTAAAAATGTTATGTAAAGAGTTATTAAAACAATTTTAGCATTTTATAATATAAATTATGTTTTAAACTGAGTGAAGGTGCATTTCTGATATAAGTACCCTTCATTTGATAATATTTGTCAGACCACTGAAAATCATTAGAGTTTGATTATGTATTGTAAAGTACATAATTTTATATTGCCAGTGTATTACGTTTAATACATATTGATTTATTATCTGTGCATATGGTATTTGAAAATCTTTATTTCTATTATTATAGATGTTCTCTACATTTTTATCAAGTTTTTATTTTTTATTATATATTCTATGATTTGTATTTCAAGATTTAATAAGTGTATTATGCAATTTTTTAGCACAACATGTTGATGCCAAAGAGTCATCGCATTGCTATCTATGAATATCTATTTAAAGAAGGTGTACTTGTGGCCAAAAAGGATTTTAATGCACCCAAGCATCCAGAATTAGAAAATGTTCCAAATCTGCATGTTATTAAAGCTTTGCAGTCATTAAAATCTAAAGGCTTAGTTAAAGAACAATTTGCATGGCGTCATTATTATTGGTATTTAACTAATGAAGGCATTCAGTATCTTCGTACTGTTCTGAACTTACCTCCTGAAATTGTACCATCAACTCTCAAAAGGCAAGTACGCTCGGAAACTACAAGGCAAAGGCCAAGAGGTAAGTTCAATTGTCAATTTATTTGTTACACTGCTAACAGGGTTTATATGGTCCTTAAAAAGTTCTAGGTGGTTTTTTTTTTTTTTCTCTCTCTCTCTCTTTTACGAAATTGGGGGCAAATAAAAGTGGCAAAATCGGTAAGATTCTTAATTTTAGTTATCTGTTATTTTTGTCTGATTTTTTACAACTGCCATTTTGAGTAAAAAATGATGTTTCCAGGAACATTTTTTGGCAATTGATTGATAAATTTGAATTTTTTTTTTTTTTAATTATTCTTACTTCTAATATTATATTAAACAATGTGACACTCAAGTTTGTGGGCACAAGACCCTACTGTGATCAACATAAACATTTTGATTTCGTTTTTGCGTACGAAGAGTTCATTGTAAGTTACATTAAAAACAACTTTTCTCTTTTTAAAAAATTAATACATTTGTTATACAGTGCTGAATTTGACAGCTTGCCAGTATTTTGACGATTTTAAGATTAATTTGTATATAAAATTATGAATGTGAATTTGTAAATTTTTTTTAACAGTTTAATTTTACAAGCATAACTTTAATAAATATCATTAAAATAGTAATAGCATAATTAAAATTATATTTCAGAAAGAACATTAACCCTTTTGTGCCGAGTCTTGCGTACATGCCAGCAAGAAATGCACTCATTTCCTGGCCGGCACACTAGCGTGCCAGAGCATTTTGTCATTCACTCCAGCCCTCACACCTCACTCCTGGAACATTTTAAAGACTACTAGATGTTGTCCTTTATCCATTACTTTTGAACTGAATATAGTTTTAGGATCCTGACCTTCAGTTTGATCACATTCTACGTAATGGTGTCACTATTGCGAGAGAGGAGGGAAAGTGTAATGTAAACCAGTGCTCCGCAACCTTTTCTCACCTGCGACGCACAAAAAATCTTTCTGGAATTTCATGGCACACCAAAGAGTTCCGATTTATCAAGGAAGTGCCGAAAAAATTCAAATGCTGACACACTTACAATCACACACACAACCACACAACAGTGAAATATATAAAAACATTTAAAATAGACATTATTAAGGAAAAAAAATTGTCATTGTGTATTAAATACATGATAAAAAATTGCAAAATGTCATATACATGTATTTGATTGCGGCACACCTATATCCTACTCATGGCACACTGGTTGCGGAGCACTGATGTAAACAACTCGGCTTGCGACGCCGTGTGATATAAACCTTCGTGTTTCTCATATCCCTTCAAATCCCTTTTTTTTTTTTTTTTTTTTTTTTTTTTTAAGAAATAGACCTGATTACTAATTTTTAGTATATTTTATGCTTAAAACACTTATACATCTAGTAAATCTCCTTATACAATAGCACTTTGCGCTGTTGCGCTTTCCATTGCTTTTGTTGCTTCTATTTTGCGTATGTACCTCTTTATTTCGGAAAGCTTTCCTTTCAGTTTATTTTCGCAAGCAAGCATTATTTATGGAGCAAGCATGGTAAATGAGCCAATCAGTGACATGAATGAAAGTGATGATTTATTTTCTAAAAAGTGAGTGAAATTTCTAGTGATTTTAATGCGGACATTTTGTCAGTATGTGCGTATGGAGTATCTGCCTTTCAGTTCACTTGAAAAATTTTTTCTTTTCTCTCTTTTTATTTTTTTTTTATTTTATTTTATTTATTTTTTGTAAATAGTTTGTCTTATATTTTATTAATTTAAAAGTTTATTAATATTTCATCAATTAAAACTTCAGAATAATTTGACTAGTATTTTGTAAAGTTATTTCTCAATGTAAGCAATTTTTTATGTGTTTTCATGTAAATACAGGAAAGAGTATTAAATGCTAATTTTAATGTCTGCATTCACTGGCTAGACTCTACAGACTTGAATGGGATCTTTTGCGATACCCCATTTAGTCCCGACATCACTCCTTCAGATTTTTATTTTTTTCGCACTTGCAGTTTTGTCTTGCTGGTGCTGCCATCTTCCGTTCTATGCAGGAGGTCCAAAATAAGGTTAATCTATTTTTGGACTCGCAGCCACCAAGTTTCTGGGCCAAAGGTCAGAAATTTGGGTGGTGATTAGAGCTGTGGAATCTGAGTCGCTAAAAAAAACGTCCGCTCCGACTCCAGTTTTTGTTGGACAGTTTGAATTTGAAATTAAAGTGAATTGGAAAAAAAAAAATAATGACAAACAGTTTATATTTTTATTTATGAACTATATAGATTAATAAATAGTTATTTTCTATTTTATTTACATATTAGTAAATAAATATAAGGGAGTAGGATGGATGTGATATTTGCCGTTCATTGGTAAATTGAGGTAAGCAGCAAGAACTCCCAAAATTGATGCCATTCTTAGGAAGCAAGCAAGAAAAGGAGCAACGCAATGGAGAAGTACATATTTGATGATATAGTGGTTGTTCGGATTAAGAACTTTTTCAGAAGATGTAAATAACCCTAATGTTTCACTAACAGAAAGACTATGGAATGATCTTGCAGAACTGGAATTCCTTCTTTCAACACTATATACAGCCACAAAAAAGCTACATTCTGAAGAATTCGCAAGAGGCAAGATTGGAAGAACGTGATGCTTGGTCTTTCTGGAATGGATGGTTTATTGCAGAAGGAATCATTTCTTCAATGAAGAAAAGAGAAACAGATCGTGCTGGGTTTAATATATGTAGATCTGAAATGCCGGATTTTGTTGGATGACAAAGAAATTAAAAAGGCAAAGAAAGCCATTTATGAACTTTCATTAAGAATAAAATTATTCTCAGAACAACTGGCGTATTCAAATCAGGACAGTCGAACTGCAGATATTGCGACTGAGTTTCTATCATCTTCTTCCACTGATGAATTAGATTTTGAGAAATATTTGGATAATATTGAAAGGCTAAGGCAAAGGGAATGAAAATAAAGAACCAAGAGCCTTTAGATATAAAAATGAAAAAATACAAACAAGATTTATACACGGCCTTTGAAGAAATGGATAAATATGATTGCTCTTGCAGGACACCTCTTTTAAAAGTTACAAAAGTCTATCCTGAAAAGATAAAGAAGTAGTAGCCGTAACAGTAACAGCTCTTCTCTTCCTACTCAAGTCAGTGTGGAAAAACTTCTCAATTCTGAAGTTTATCAAATCGGATCTATGGTCCTCTAACAAAGATCTTGCCGAAGTTTTACTGTTTCTTAGAAATTACTAATTCCAGTTTTTTCATTTCATAATAAATGCTTATATAAAAAATTTGCTATGCATCAATTTTTATCTGTAGCATCTGCTACTTCTTTTATATTAAAAAAAAAGGAACTACTCTGATATGCGCCCTCAAGGCGCCAAATATTTTTGGCGAGAAACTCCACGCTGCCATATTGCTATCTAAATTTTTGTCTACATTTCGAACTTTAAGCCTAAAATGTCTCCAAAAACACGGTTTAAACACACAATTTAAGCTAAAAATCTGAAACAAAAACAAAAAATTTAGGTAGCAAAACCGTGAAGTTTCTAACCAAAATTATTTGACAAGAGTCCATGTACACAGCGATATGTTTTAACTTAAAAAAAATCTACGAATAGCACCATCTAGGAAACGAACGAATTTACGAACTACGCACACCTTGCTTTAATAAATTAACATAACAATAAATTTCAAAGAATACCTTGTACACAGCGTTCTGTTTCAACTTTAAAAAACATCTACGAATTGCACAGTTTAGACACGGTACGCACTAATCAACAAAATAACTAAAATAAAATTCAAACAATTCAAAAAAAAAAAAAAAAACAATAACGACAGAAATTCATACTAAAAAAACAAGGAACATAACATTCTACAAAATAAAAACAAGAATAAAATAGAATGCACTTATGCATTAATGCTTTTTCGAACAACAGAAATACCAATTTCATACCGCCTTTAACATACCGCCACGTAATCACTATCGTATTTATATGACAGCCAGACACACTATCCAGAAAATTCATACTATGGTTCACAAATAAATAAAATAACAAATAATCACAAATCCCTACTTCTATCAAGCACAGCCACTAAAAATAATCTCCCATACCTTTTTTTCACACCTCCAAATACCCATTGTCCCTCAACAGGATGGCCACGACGATATTTCCTTATGCCGAACTTCAATTCAACACTTTCACCATTAAATCTTTCCCCGCTAGCTTCTCAGACACAAAGCATGACGGGAACCAATGAACTCCAGCGAAAGATTTTTCAACGTCAACAGAGTTGCCATACAACATGCAATCGCGCCAAAAACCAGCGCAGAACACATATCGCCACATTTGGTGAAAATTAGGGCATATATCAGAGTTGTACCAAAAAAAATAATCTGTACCCATGTTTATATGTTTACATATATATGAAGGAGTCAGAGTCATTAAAACTCCAGGAATCTGAGTCTGTCATGTTCACTACCAACTCCACAGCCCTGGTGATTACTACATCAGGGTTCGTACGGTCCTTAAGAGTCCTTAAATTTTTTGAAATCAGTTTTTGGTCCTTAAAAGTCTTTAATTTTGGCCAAAATCAGTAAAAGGTCCTTAATTTTAATGATCTGAAATTTCTGTCTGTTTTTACGACTGCCATTTTGAGTGTGAATTAGCATTTTGGAGGAATTTTTTGGCAATTCACTGACGTATATGGTTATCTTTTGATTGGGTTCATGGGTTATAATTTGTTTCTATTTATAATATAAATGATGGGATACTCGAGTTTCTAAGCAAGAAGTGAAACATAAGTATTTCGAAATTCATTTTTTCTAATAAAGAGCTCTTAAAACAACTTGGTTTTTGGGGTTGTGAATTCTTTTATTAAATGGTTCTAAATTTGACAACTTGTCAACATTTTGGTGATTTTAAGATCAGTTTCTATAGAAAAATTTTTAATTCCGAGATCTGAGAATTTTTCCACCATTTTTTTTAAAGCATCGTAACATTGATGAATTTCATTAAAGTAATGGTAATATATTAGAATTATATTTAAAA